ACAGAGAGATGCCCACTGAATCCTATGAGAGAAGGTGGTGACACAGTGACAACGTGCTGACAGCAAACCATTTGTCCACATGGCCACATGTGATCATTACCCCTGACGGTCAGCGTGGCCGACGTCCTCTCCTGTGCACACACACACGAGTACTCCCCAGCATCCGCCACGGCCAGGCCCCGGATCTCCAGCTCACACACGGCCCCGTCCTGCCTCAGGCTGACTCTTTACCCAGCTCTGAGGGTCTCAGGCCCCTTCCTCCACTCCACAGGGGCCGCCTTGCTCAGCTCATAGAGCCGCATAGTTGTTGCCCCTTCCGTGGCCTCCGCATTCCTCAGGCCCTTTGTGAACTTGGTGGGCAGGGCTGGGGTGTCAGAAGGCCCCAGAGAACATCAAACAGTCTGGAGGACTTCATGATGAGGTCAAGGACACCCACAAGGACCACACAAACTGCTAAGGGCCATGACATGAAGTAGTGAATGAATGCGCAGATGGTGATGGAGACCAATAAAGTGAGAGAAAAGAAGGACAGAAAGACGTGGACACAAACATCAAAACAGCTCACTGGAGAGATGGAGCCCAGAGATACTCGAGGACCTCAGTGGAAGCCACAAACCCACAAATGTTACCAATGAGAAGGTACTAAAACAGTGACCATGTGCCAACACCAAGCCACTGGTCCATGTGGCCACATGTGGTTGTTACCCTTGACGGTCAGCGTGGCCAGCATCCTCTCCAGCCCACACACGCACGAATACTCCCTGGCATCTGCCATGGCCAGGCCCCGGATCTCTAGCTTACACACTGCCCCGTCCTGCCTCAGGCTGACTCTGTCCCCAGCTCTGAGGGTCTCGGGCCCCTTCCTCCACTTCACAGGGACCACCTTGCTCAGCTCACAACGCAGCGAGGTTGTGGCTCCTTCTGTGGCCTCCTCATTCCTCAGGCCCTTAGTGAACTTGGCAGGCAGGGCTGGGGGTCAAAAGGACCCAGAGAACATCAGACAGTCTGAAGAATTTGGCAGTGAGGGCTGGACATGGACACTTGACAATGAAACACACCTGAGAGCAAACGAGGAATAAAGCACGGACACAATGGTGGGGAGTGGCGCCATCTTGATCAAGGCCAGTGAGGAGACGAAGATGCTGCGACCCTCAGTGAGGACCTCTGACCAGGACAGACACAGGGGAATGGCCACAGTTTCAATGGACATACAGACAGAGATATCTGGGAATCTTCTGTGGCCCTACCTGCCTCAGATCGTATCTGACAGCAGATTCGAGGGTCCAGGCCCCTTCCCTCACCCTACATGCCAGGCTGCTCAGCTCACGACACCGTGGCCATGGCCTCTTCTTTCTTGGCAATTTGTGACCCCAACAGTTATGGCTGGGGAAAGGAGACATGAAAACAGCTGCCTAAATCTCTCCCACAAGTTTGCACCAGCACTCACTTCTTATAACCTCCTGCAGCTCCTAAGGCCAGAGCCTGGAACTAAGCAAAACTGACCTGGACACACCAGAGCAAGGAACACCCCACCTGGGAGGGGGCAGAAGCCACCCTCCTCCTGGCGTGTCGCCCCGGTACAGCTGTCTTTGGGATCCACACACTTCTAGAAGCAGCTCTCTCGGGCTGCCTGCACCTAGTCATCTTAGGTCCTGGCTCCTTGGCTGTTGGCTGAGTGACAGCCCTCTGAGCCCATGCTCCTTTGGTTTCCTGGCAGGCTGACCAGTATGAGAGCCCAGTGCCTTTGTGCTGGGGACTCTATACTCTGTCTATGCAACTCAAGGAGTCGTGGTGATAGCCTCTCCCCAAAGGTCTAGACATTTGTGCACGTGACAAGTGATTCTGGCCTCCAGAATTCTCTTCTTCACTATCTACCTTGTTGTGTGAGTGGATCTGGCCAGGGCCCAGGATGTGAAGCCACTACACACTGAGGTGTCCTTCCCTCTGCTCCTTCTGAGACACCCCAGCCCCTGTGCCTTTACTGATGTTGCTCCTGGGACTTTCCCAGTATACAGAGGGGGATTCATTTGGCCTCTGTCCATCTGCTTCCCTTTCAGGAAGTGACCAAGGCCTTACAAGGGCCCTCAAGGACCCAGATCCCCTCCACGGAGACCTGACCTGTCACCAGGCCACCAGCCACATCTCACTGTGGCCAGTCCCCATCCTGATTTCCCAACTCTGAGAGTCTCAGGTTCCTTCCACCACTCTGTGGGGGAGCCTTACTCAGCTCACAGTGTAGCATGGATGGGGTACCTCCCGTGGCCTTCACAGGCCTCAGGACTTTCGTGGATTTGGATTCAGGCCTGGGAAAAGTCAGACCAACAAACAGACTATTGGACAAGGAACTTGCAGCTTGAAGAAAGGAACAGGCTGCAAATACCAAGCTGGCAACACAGGCACCTTCTGAAGGTGGGGCCCCAGTGACATCAGGCAGGACACCTGCCCCACACGGACTGCTCAGATGCAAGGGGACGCCCACCTGCCCCCTGCAGGGGTGCCCACAATTCATCTGGCTGTCATCTCCCTACATTAGATGTGGTCTGTCCAGTCCCTAAGCTGGGGGCCAACCCATCTGCTCCAGCTAAGCAAGCCCCTACGCCACCCTCAGCCTGAGCAGTCAGGCCGAATCTACCCAAGACCATAGGCCACAGACCAGTGTCCCTTTGCTGCTGTAGCTGAGACCTGCCATATACACAACACAGAGTGGATACCCACCAACCCACCCACCACAGACATGAGACACAGAACCCCACCACGAGTGTATGTCCACCATCCCTTCCTTACTAGGGCTATGCTCCTCAACTCACCGCTCCCTGTCCCTCAAACTTCTCTAGACCTCACCTCCACCTCGCCTTCCACACCCACCTCACCTCCACCTCGCCCTCCACACCTACCTCACTCCATCTCAGCCCACACTCATTTCACCTCCACCTCACCTCCTACACCTACCTCACCTCCCGTGATACCCAGACATGGACACAGCTCCACCTACATGGCCATCTCATGACCAGTCACATAGGTTTGGCTCCCTCCCTCAATCATACCCTGACATCCCTGCCTCAAGGGCCACACTCAGATCTACTTCCTAATCCTTTGAGGCACGGCCCCCTCAAGAGGACTGCATTCCACCATTTGTGTTGTGTGGCTGCCCTGCTCCTCTCCCTCAGAGGTGACCCGGTGAGGAAGGCCCTCGCTCTCGGCTCTTTATTTGAGGAGGCCTCACGCAGCCAGGTGCTGACAGCCATAGGGGAGCAAGAGACACAGACAGAGACGGAAATACCTACACAGAGGGGCATAGTGAGGGGTCATGCTCAAGCCCTCAGACACGGAGCCAGGGCTCCACGTGGCCACATGCAGTCTTTACCCTTCTTGACGGTCAGTGTGGCCGATGTCCTCTCCTGCCCGCATACACACGAGTACTCCCCAGCGTCCGCCACATCCAGGCCCTGGATCTCCAGCTCACACAGGGTCCCATCCTGCCTCAGGCTGATTCTGTCCCCAGCTCTGAGGGTCTCAGGCCCCTTCCTCCACTCCACGGGGGCCACCTTGTTCAGCTCACAGCACAGTGTGGCTGTGGCCCCTTCCATAGCCTCTTTGCTTCTTAATCTTCCTATGAACTCAGCAGACAGGGCTGTGGACAGTCAGATAGACACAAAACATAAAATTCTGTGAAGAAAGTTGGAGATGGAACATGACAGGACAGAGGACATGACAAAGACTCCGACAGGACAACATGACAAAACCAGCAGTGGTACGAGTAGTGAGAAGTGGCTCAGATGCTGGTTTCTCATGTCTGACAACACCTAGAAGGGTAAAGGGATTCCATGGAATTACGGGAAGAGGATGATACTGAGACAGGAGAGAACGTGGAATTAGTGCGGACAGGTGTCATTAAGTCAATAACTGGACATCAAAACACAGTTCTGTTGGCCACACGTGGTCCTTACCCCGGACAGTCAGCGTGGCCGACGTCCTCTCCTGCCCGCACACGCACAAGTACTCCCCAGCATCCGCCACAGCCAGGCCCCGGATCTCCAGCTCACACACGGCCCCGTCCTGCCTCAGGCTGACTCTGTCCCCAGCTCTAAGGGTCTCGGGCCCCTTCCTCCACTCCACGGGGGCGGCCTTGCTGAGCTCACAGCTCAGGGTCACCGTGCCCCCTTCCATGGCCTCTTTGCTTCTCATTCTTCCTATGAACTCAGCAGGCAGTGCTGTGGAGGGTCAGAGATGAGAACATCGTCCTCATCTTCTCATGCACAAGGGGAAGGGACACGAGGGGCCGGGCGGACAGGCGGCGCACTCTTACCCTTCACGGTGAGCATGGCTGAGGTCATCTGGTCCCCATAGCAGCAGGTATACTGCCCGCTGTCCTGTGGCCGCAAGTCCCGAACCACCAGCTCCAGCCTGGCGCCCTCCTGCCGCATGCTGTACTTGCCTCCTGGCCGCAGAAGCTCATCCCCGCAGCGCCACTCCACAGGCGTGACCACAGATGACAGCACACAGCGCAGAGTGGCAGCACCACCCTCCAGCACCTCCATGTCCTTCAGCCCCTCCCGGAACCGTACTGGCCGCGCTGCAGGAGGCACAGGAGCAGCTCGTCCTTGCCCCTGCATCCTCCCGGGGCACCCCTAGAGTTGAGGAGGGGTGGAGGCACCAGCATGCAGTGCAGGCAGGCCTACCTCACCCCTTCTACCTTGAGGGCTAGTGACCATGTCCCTGAGACATCTGCACCTCCGGGAGGGGGAGCCAAACAAATACAAAAAAGGAAGGCCAGGGTGTCATTGGCTGCATTGTGTCCCCCACACGTTCACATTTGGAGCCCAATTCCAGGACCTCAGATGGGGCTATATTTGGAGATGGGATTTTAAAGAAGTTATTAAGGTGATACGAGGTCCCTAGAATGTGTCCTCATCCCATATGACTGATGGTCTTATAAAAAGAGGCAATCAGGACACATAATACAGAGGATGACCATGTGAGGACACAGGGAGGAGATGGCCATTCACACACCAGGGAGAGAGGAGGCTTCAGGAGACCAGCCATGCCTGCACCTGGACCCTGGACATCCAGCCTCCAGGATTCAGAGGAATAAATGTCTGTTGTTTGAGCTGCCCCATCTGTGGCATTTGTTATGCAGCCAGAGCAGATGGAAATGAGCCAAGCCAGGAGGAGGGAGACACAGAGATATTGGAATACAAGACAAAGTCAGGAATGGAGTAAGAAAGAGACTGACAGAGAGGGGATCGACAGAGGGTGAGCAGCTCTACCAGCAGCAGAGACAAGGAGATGGGCAGGAGCACCCAGGAAATGGAGGAGAGGGATGAGCTGCAGAGACAGAGATGGACAGAAGGGGACAAAGACTCCCCACACACACCGATAGGGCAAAGACAGAAAGAGAGGGAGCTGGATGGAGTCCGGGGCCTCCCCTGCCCCGATGAAGATGAAAGCCACGGCTAGAGGCTGCCTGGCCCTGCCTGGGGGCTCACCATGGACCCTGACGATGGAGCTGCTCCAGGAACCCCCTGCCTCACACTTGTAGCGCCCGCCATCCTGCGGGGTGGTGCCAATGATGACCAGCTGGGCCCGGCAGCCCTCATGGCTCAGTTGGCACCGGGCCGACGGCCGCAGAGCTTTCCCATCCTTGGTCCAGTACACAGGGCTGTCCGGGGCAGTGGTCTCACAGACCAGGGTCAGATCCTCCCCCTCCGTGACCATGGTATCTGTGAGCTCCAGGGAGAAGACACTTGGCTTCTCTAGGGACAGAGAGGGAAGTACAGGGCATTTGGGTGCTTCTGCCAGGAAAAGCTCCAGGTATCGCTGTAGCCCAGCTGACACCCCATGTTGAGTGCCTGTCTGCTCACCCCAGTATGGGGACAAAGACAGGGCAGCCGGGGTGGGGGGGGCAGGTCATGCTCTTTGTAGCTCCCCACACTACAGCTGTGTGGCCAGGCCCATGTATTGCTGACTATGGGATCCCCTCTGCAAACCACATGCAACGATTCATCCTGCAACAGCCATGCCCAGCCTCCTAAGCCCACTCTGGGATCCAAGTCCCAGCCCATGGCATCTTCTCCGTGAGCCCCAGGACTACGCTGCACCCTCGGCCACATGGACCGGCCCTAGTCACAGCACTAGGCATGCAGCCCACCTGTGACCCGCAGGGTGGCTGAGGACCGCTGGTTGCCCGCTTCAAAGTGGACAGTGCCCGAGTCCTTGAGTGCGAGCTGCCGCAGGGTGAGCACATGGTAGCCACCTGGCTGGGCCTCGATCTCATTGAACTCGTTCGCGTACAGGGGTGTCTTGTCCAGGAACCAGTGGACAGGCCCGTAGTCAGCAGGAGACACTCGGCAGCTGAAGGTGGCTGAGGAGCCCTCCTGCACCTCAGCATCCCCCAGGTCCTCCAAGATGAGTATTCTTTGACCTGGGGGGCGGGGCAGGCAGGTCAGGACCCCAAGGAGGGAAATGGGATGCTCCCCCAGAGCTGGGGTGGGCTCATGGCCAGAGCAAGCTGGTGACTCTAACAGGTTCAGGATGACAAAACCCAGAAAATCGAGGTCAGAGATGAACTGACCAAAAGTGTTTGTTTTAGGTCTATGGCCGAGCCCCAGCCCCCTCAGTCCTTCTGTAGAACATGCAATGACCCACGATGGCCTCTCCACGAGCTGTGTGCCCCAATCTGTCCATGCCAGTGCACCTGTCCCCAGAGTCTTGTAACACAAACAAACCTTGTGTTAACAGAAGAAATCACAATGTGAAAAACCTGTGTGGTTATTTCAAATTTTAAATCCAATGTTTTGAAAGTCTGACAATGTGTATTGCCAGGAATTTTTTTTTTTTTTTTTTGCTGCCAACTTAGGCCTGCGGATGCTTAGAAAATAACCATAATCTTGGAGATGGATATACATCAGATTCCTCCCCATTCACGGGTGCCTTGAAGCTGCCAGACACTAGACACCAAATGCTGGACACCAGATGCAGGGCACCAGACCCTGACCATCGAGCATTGGGCTCTGGACAGTAGGCACCGGGCACCAGGCACCGGAAAGCGCAGACGGTATGTCAGGACGCAACTGGTCAGAGACGAGAAATTCTGATTCAAGGACTGACACACACAGAGAAAAGGCGTTGGCCACACCGCCAGATGGGAACGTGTGTGAGTACTTTAAGTTTTGTAAAGAGTCTGTTTTGTTACCACGTGATACAGCGTTAACTGACTTTCTGATTAAGTGTGAGTACCCACCTTATGAACAAATGAAGTATCTACCATGCTAACTAATGCTGTCACTGAACTCACTGGACTCACCAGATTACATTGGAAAGAAGAGAGAAAACCAGAGCAAGGTTTCCTTGTAACTCTTACCTGCAGACAGACCCCAGGGGGGCCCCCAGCTGACTCCACGCTGGATGCTGGCCCTGGGGTCAGGAGGGCCTGGCTCAACCCTGCCCAGATGCCAACATACCCAATGGCCCCATGTAAAGCCCCAGTTTCCTTATCTGTGAGATGGAGATGATGATGACCCTCACCCTGCATACCAGGTACACACTACTACTCAAACCTGGAGACCGCCATGGGCAAAAGAGGTACATCCATGTGTAGATACACGCAGAGCTCACACATGGGTCTGAGCACATGCCGGCATGGAGACAGAGCTCGGGAAACATGAATGCAGTAATAAATGAGGACCACAGACTCATTCGCACAAGATCCAGCTGGGAGGGCCCCAGAGATGAGACAACCCAGGGCAACCTCCTCCCAGAGATGGGGAAACTGCAGCTAGGCTTGTCTAGGGTCTCCAAGTCTGCTTTGAACAGGGCTTGTACCAGCCACACCATGAGCCATGAAACCCGTGCAATGTGCCGGCCTTACCTTGTACCAGGAGCCGCGCCTGGGACCTCGCCTGGCCAATGTCGCAGGTATAGGTGTCACTGTCCGCCTTCTCCAGGGCACTGATGGTGAGCCTCAACGTCACACCCTCCTGGCTGGGCGCATGCTTCCTCGAGGCACACAGCTCTGAGAGGCCCTTGCGCCAGGTCACCATGGCCACGGGGCGCTCCGTCTTGCAGGTAAACACAGCCGTGCCCTTCTCCTCCACTTGCAGGTCGGCTAGCTCTTCTGTGAACCGGTTTGCCTGTTCTGGGGGAGGAGGAGAGAAGGGATGGGGGTGAGGCCTACAGACTCTACACGACTCCTTGGGACACAGGCAGTTTTGCTCCCAGCCTGCCCACGCAACATCAAGGACCTAACTGAGCCTCTTCCCTCTGAGCCCCTCACTTTCTGCCTGAGACAGCAAAGCAGAGACCCCGAAGAGGTGGCCCCATCCCACACTAAGGAAGAGAGGCCATGGGGGCTGTCCCAGAGTCCCTTGTGAGGTTACCTTCCACATGGAGGCTGGCTGTGCTCTTGGAAACCTCTGTCTCACACGTGTACTCGCCGGAATCCTTGAGCGAGGCCGCATGGATGACCAGCATGGCCCGTGTGCCCTCGCTGAGAAGGTCGTACTTCTGACTCTTGCGAATGGCCTTCCCATCCTTCAGCCAGCGCACCAGAGTGCCCGCCCGTGACAGCTCACAGCTCAGTACTGCATCTTCGCCTAAAGTGGCTCTCTGGTCCTCCAGAGGCTTCATAATATCCACCGGCCTCTCTGAAAGAAGCAGAGGTGGCCTGTGAAGCATGGCGACAGCCACAGCCACACCAGGGGTGAGGGCAAGGCAGGCACTCAGAAACCTTCAGAGTCTGAGTCAGAGTCAGAGTCTGAGGCTGAGGCCAAGGCCACAGACCTACAGCCCGAAATGCTGGGACCTCAGACCCAAGAGCCTCAGAGTCCTGGAATGATGGGATCTCCCACTGCGATAAGCAAGAGGCCTTCAAGAAAGAGATATGAGACCACAAGATGCTCTCGGCATCATTCAGAGCCTGTGACTCAAAGTGTGGGCATGGCTGGTGCCAACTGTGAACCAAACGTCATTGATCTACACCATTATTTATGCTGGGAGCACAAGCTCAGAAATGCCCAGGGTGACTTCCCTGGTTCGGTGACCACGTGTCCTACAGCTCCCACGGCAGCTGGACCACGGATGGGAGACCGAAAACCTGCTTCTGCCCAGAGAGCAGATCCTTGCCCTAGAGACTGAGCCCCGGATGACCAGAATCCTGTCAGGAACCTCTGGGCCCCCACAATTGGCTAAGGGAAACAGTCCCTGGAAGCACCCCATGGCGGGCTGCCCAGCCCAAGGCACGACTGCAGACTGCCTGGGGAGGGCCCAGGCTCAGCCTACAGAGATACCCTATCTGCCCAGGTGCCTGGTGCCCACCTCTGACGACAAGGGAGGCCTTGGAGGTGAGGCCCCGCATGGAGAAGACCACCTCCCCGGCATCAGCCAGCACCACCTCTTGCACAGTCAGGGTGTACTTGCGGCCCTGGCGCGTGGCCCGGAAGCGGCCTGAGCTGCCCACCATCTTCCCATTGACCATCCACGTGGCTGTATCACCGGTGTCCTCGTGGGATAGGACGCACTCGAAGCTGCAGCCCTCACCCTCCAGCACCTCCACTGTCTTCAGCCTCTTGGTGATGCCCACATGCAGGTCTGTGGACCACAGGAGACAGCTGTCACATTGGCTAGGCCCCAGACACCTGTCCCTCGAGGCCAGTGCCATCCAGCCCCATAGGGATCCCGAGACCCAGATACTCTCCCTCCCCAGCCCCAGTCCCAGCAGGCCTGCTGCCCCTCAACAAATACCCCTTTGGTCTTCTACCAGCTTACGTGCTCCAGAAGAGAAAGGATAGGTGCTGCTAGAGAACATGCCATCTAGCTCTGGGCCAAACTCACTGCACCGCCCTCCCCCTCTTTCCTGTGTCATGTCAAATCCCACCAGACATCAGGGATCCAAAACTATAAAGCTGAGCCAAGACGGTGGCACACGGGGAGGCCTCGTGACCACCCAGTTGGGGAACCACACCCAGGCTGTGCCTGTGGCCTGGGAGCCCTTCCAGGGCATCTCTCCCCCAACCCCGCGATTCCCCCACACACACACCCGCCTGACACCTGGGCCTCTTCCACTCCCCATCTCCTGGAGACTCTGATGACTAGCCTCATACCTGCCCACACACATCCCCTGGTGCAGAGTAAATGTCTCTGGTCCCTGTCTGAAATCAAGCACCCGTAGGCCTCTATCAGGCAGGGCCCAGTCCAGTCCTCCACGCTTCGCTGGTTGCCCAACGTCCTCACCCACCTGCTTGCACCTACCTGGGCCTCCATGAGATCAAGTCAAACCCATACTTCCGGAGCTTGCCTGACTTCTCAAGGCTCAGCAAACCAGCCCAGGTTGGCGGGATCCAGGGGAGGTGCCCCGCCCCCAGCGTCCCGCGTCCCCGCCCCCAGCGCCTGGGCCGCGCCCCCACACACCGTGCACATTGACGCGCGCACGGGTCTCCTCGGTGCCCAGATGGCAGGTGTACAGGCCAGCGTCGTCCCGACTCAGGTCGTGCACCACTAACCCGCGTGTGCCCGCCGTGTGCAGGAAGTTGTACTTGTCGCTGGGGCCCAGCTCTACGCCGTCCTTGCGCCATACCACACCGGCCTGGGGGTCGGAGACCTCACACTGCAGGGCCAGAGTGCCCCGCTCCTCCGCGGACACATCGTCCAGAGCCTTCAGAAACACCACCGGCTTTGCTGTGGGCAAGGCATAGGCGGGTGAGCAAGGGAGCTGCCACCTCTGCCCGCGGGGACTCTTTCTGGGAGGAGCCACAGAGATTCCTCACCTCTGACCTCAAGGCGAGCCGAGGCTGACACCTTGAGGGAAGAGGCGCAAATGGTGCCGGCGTCTGCCCGCTGGACCCGCTTCAGCACGAGGGTGTGGCGGCGACCCTCGTGGGTAATCTCATGGAAGCTGTCGTTGTAGAGGAGTGTCCCGTTGAGCGACCACTCCACCTCCTCGTCCTCGTGGGACAGCTCGCACGAGAAGCAGACGCGGCTCTCCTCCACAGCCTCTGCGTCCTGCAGCGGCTGCGTCACCGTCACCTCCCGCGCTGCCAGGAGCACAACGAGCAGCTTAGCCCATGCTACTGCCACCTCCCCCAGGACCCTCCCGATGGCTCTGAACCCCCTCCCCCGCACCTTCCACGGTGACCTCGGCACTGCTCTGGGCGCTGCCAGCCTGGCACCGGTAGACGCCAGCGTCGGCGGGCGTGAGTCTCAGGACGCGCAGCTCCGCCATGTGGCCCTCCAGACTCATTTTGAACTTGTCAGACGGCGCCAGAGGCTTGTCCTCCTTGTACCACTGCACAGCCTTGGGGGACGGCTTGAAGTCACAGGACAGGACCACCGACTGCAGCTCGCGCCCTGCCTTGGGCTCCAGCGGCCGCGTGAGCACGACAGGAATGTCTGTGCAGAAGGGGGGAGCGTAGCGATGCAGGGCGGGCCGCTAAGCCCCGAAAACCAGGGCTACTGGGTCCTGCGGGGGTCTGCCCGAGTCCCTCCACCCACCCCGCCCTCTGGCCGCGCATGCTCACCTGAGACGACCAGATGCGCTGTGGAGCGCGACTTGCCAATGGTGAAATGCACCGGCCCGGTCATGGTTGAACAGGTGCGCCGCAGCATCAGCCTGTGCACCGTGCCCTCCTGCTCCACGCCTACGTTCGCCCCCGCCTGCAGCACCGTCTTCCCCAGCAGCCACTTGGGCGGCCGAACCGACGGGATGGAGGTCTCGCACTCAAACCAAGCAGGGGCAGGCTCCATCACTGTCACATCCTGCAGGCCCCGGACGATGGTGATGGATTGCTCTGTGGGCAAGGGGCTGGTCACCGTGAGATCTCACAGGAGGACCGCAGGCGGCCCCTTCCCCAGGCTCCTTGTTCCTTCCTGGGAACAAATCTTCCCACACAGTGCTCACATTCTCCCCACTCCCACCGCCATACCCCAAGTGCCCCAGCACTTCCAAGTCAGGCTCTTTTCGGATCTGGCAGCCAGGAATTGTCAGGACCAATTATAGAAGATATAGCCCCTCCCTAGACACAGGGGACACATGCTCGAGGGCATGCCCACACCTTCTACGAAGAACTGGGCACTGGTCTTCACATTGCCCGCATCACAGGTATAAGTGTCTTCATCCTCTGGCTGCACGTCATTGATGACCAGTTTGCGGTAAAGGCCATCGCTGACCATCTCGTACTTGGGCCCAGGCCGCAGTTCCATGCCACCCTTGAACCACCGCACCTGGGCGCTGGCCCGCGACATCTGGCACTCTAGTATGCCTCGGTGCTTCTCCATGGCGATCTTGTCTCGCAGAGGGCGCAGGATGGACACAGGCAGCTCTGTGGGTGTGGTGGGGAGGGGTCAGGGCGCAGGCTCAGCCTTCCAAACACCCTAGGCGTGGGTGCTCTGCCTATGTAGCCTCTAACCAGCGGGGCTGGGCCAGGTGTTGCCTTCAGGGCTGGGACTCTTAGGGCACAATTGACAATGAAGAAGGTAGGCACACCCGCACACCTGCCCTTGCCCCACATGCCCTCACCCCGCCCCCTACACCCAGGCCCGGTCCCTACCCTGCACACCTTCACCTCCTTACCCCCACTTTGTGCGCCCCTGACCCGAGCGCCACCCTGCCACCCCCCTACAGTTCCCCATCCGAACCTGCACATCAAGGCCTTGGCACAGTCGCCCCACCTGTCAGCAGACCCTCCCTCCCTCATCCCCACTCCCCCCCCGCCCCCGTCACTCTCCTGTCATCAAGTTCACCAGGTAAGGCTGCGCCCACCTGTTGCCAGGGCCTCACACCCCTTCTCTCCAGTACCTGCTGCAGTCAGCAGAGGAAGAATTCAGTGGTACCTCCATTTTAAACAAAGATGAACTGCATCCCCTGACCCCTGTCTTTCTGCCGGGAAGACAGGCAAAACCCCCTTTCCTTCCTCCTAGGTTACCCCTGTCTTGTCCCAGGAAGGAGCGTGGCACCCAGGCTTGTGGCTGGACAGCTAACGCAGCACACCTGCATGTTCTCCCATGCCGTCCAGCCTGCGCCCTCTCCTGAGTGCCTTCTCACCTCTCACTCGGAGCTGGGCTCGTGATTCTGCATTTTCAGCTACAAATCGGATTTCTCCTGCTTCTTCCACCAGGACCCTCCGGAAGATGAGCGTGTATGTCCTTCCTGGGAACACAGGCTACTCAGCACTGGGAGAGCAGGGAAGACCCTTTCTCAGCCGCCTGCTGTCATTGTCATACCTTCCTGGCGGATGCGCACATTGTCACTGGGCCGAAGCTTACTGCCCTCCCGGAACCACTGGGCGGGCACCTCTTCGTGGGAGACCTCACAAGAGAAGGTGGCGCCCTCCTTCTCCATCACCTCCACGTCCTCCAGGGGCCTCACAATCTGGACGTTGCGGCCTGGGACAGCAAGAGAGGCCCTGCCACAATCTGACTCAAAGAACTGCCCTCTCCTTCTCCAATCTCAACTTGTTGAAGGGCATGGCCAGAGGTCCGAGCACCTCGCTGGGAGATGCAGGGGGCAGGAAGTCCTTGCACCCAGCCCTGACCCTCCACTCAACCCAGCTCTCACCTTGCACCTTCAGGGAGGCCGAGGTCTGAGCATCCTGGGCGTCACATACATACACACCCTGATCCTCAAGCGCACATCGGTAAATGATGAGACTCCGGCAGGAGCCCTGGGTCACCATGCCCACTGTCTTGCCCACCTGCAGCTCCACGCCATCCTGTGGGGGCATGAGGCTGGGTCAGGCGATGGGGCTGCACACACATGGGTCCCACTCCTACCCACCCATGGTGAGGGTCAAGAGGGAGCATAAGGGTCCAGGGACAGAGGCACCTTCAGCCAGCGCACGTCCACATTGGGGCGTGACAATTCACACTCCAGGGTCACTTTGTCCTTCTCCGTGGCCACCACGTCTTGCAGCAGCCGGCTGAATCTCACAGGCAGCTCTAGGGAGGTAGAGGGGGAAGTGACAGGTCGGTCCTGGAGGTGCCCTCCAGGTGGGGGTGAGGCCTGAGTTGTACCATATTACTCAGCTCAGTTCTAGGAACAAGTGCTCCCTTCTCCCAAGATTCCACTTTCCTGTTTCTGCCACATCCCTGGGCCACCCTGGGACAGGGGCAGGCGCTCTCTTGAGTGGGTCCCACCCCTCCGTCCCCCCACACACCTGTAACCACTAGCCGAGCGGACGTGTGCACGCCCTCAGCCTTGAAGGCAATGAGGCCGCTGTCTTGTGGCTGCAGCTTGGACAGCGTAAGAGTGTGGGTGGGGCCAAGCACAGCCAGGTGGCATGTGGGCCCTGGCTGGAGCCGCAGGCCATCCCGTGTCCAGCTGCCCTCCACGTCTGTGTGCGACAGCTCCACCTCCATGGTGGCTGAGCCCTGCTCCTGTGCCTCTACCGCCTGCAGGCCCCTCACGAGCCGGACCTGGCGCACTGTAGGGCAAATGCAGAACAGGACAGGTGAGCCACTGCACCAAGACTTTGGCCTTCGGGCCAGCTCCACCCTCACCTCTCCAGGGGGCCTCAGTGGTCAACATGGTACCCTGGAGGGTGAGGCCCACTCCCACCCGCAGGAGAACTGCCCTCCATGGGAGGCCCGCCCTGCCCCATCCTTCCCTTCTCCCATCCTGCCACCCAGCCCCCACCCCAAGCTTCCAGGTGGAGCTCCACCCCCTCCCTTCCTTTCAAACACCTTCCCAGGGCAAGGTTCCCAGTGGGAGACCCACTCCCCTCTCTCTCTCCCCACTCCTGAGCGCCAACCAGGCCCAGCCACCCCGCAGCTCACTTTCCACGGTAAGCTTGGCCTGTGTTTTGTCATCTGGAGTCTCACAGCCATAGAAGCCACGGTCTGAGAAACCCACACTGCGGAGGACCAAGCGGTGACTCGAGCCTTCTGCATAGATTGCCACATTCTCCCCAGGGGCCAGTGCCACAGCATTTCGTGTCCACTTAACCTCCGGCCAGGGCCTCGTCAGCTCTACCTCCAAGGTCACTGAACCCCACTCCTCCACAGTCTGCGGTTCCAACTTCTTCTTAAACAGGATGGGAGCCTCTGGAGTCAGGGAAAGGGCAGACACAGCCACTGCTACTCGGAACATCCAGCACAGAGGGCCCCTGTCCGTCCCCTTCCACCCGAGGCAGCAGAGTAGCCCCCACCACATTCTGACTCCAAGCTGAGCAAGGCCTTGTTCACACTCAGGACCCAGCTGTATACCTGCATAAGTACAATTTTATGGGAGGGAACCGAGGCTCAGGGGACTTCAATTTCCACAGCCCCTTCTCCTTTCCTGCTCCCCTGCTTTGAACAACCCTGCCTGCCAACCTCCTAAATATGGCCCCTGATCAGCCACCTTGAGACACAGAGCTGATAAGACAGGCAGACTCTGAGTCCTCAAATCCATTGCATCAGTGTCTCAGCTCCATCGAGGCCCTGGGAGCGCCCACACTAAGAGAAACGTGCTGGACCTCTCAGTCCCAGTTGTGCCATGACCTCCCCAGAAGGTGAATCTGCCCACATTAATCCCTTACTCAAGAACCTGTGATGGTTCCCACTTACCCTTGGGTGAAGTCCTGGCTCTCCCCGACACAATCTGGCTTCGGAGAGCTAAGGGCATGCCCACCTCCTGCCTCTGCTTACCCTGTCTGCCAACTCTGCTCCCTCCCACCTCTCCATCCACAGGGCTTAGCGAGAGGCGCCTCCTCCAGGAAGCTACATCCACTCCTAGACCAGGGCTGCAGTGCAATTTACTTTCTCCCCTTCAGGGCAGATATTTTGCCTCTCAGTCCCACCCGTCTCCTTTTAGCAGCCAGAAAACCCCGTGTCTCCTGAGGTCAGCCAGACGACCTGGACACCAGCGAGCAGCCAGATGCCAGCCCACCAGGGAGACACCCAAACTCGCTGACGCCCCACAGACGCACCTCGCACTCGGAGGGTAGCCACGGATGTGACGCCCTCAGCCTCCGCGGTGATCAGGCCAGCGTCCTCCAAGACCAGGCTCAAGATAGTCAGGCTATGACTGGCTCCGCTCTGCGACATGAGAAACTTCTCGCTGGGCTGCAGCTGGACGCCATCCCGGAACCACGTGATTGCTGCGTCGCTGGGGGTCACCACGCACTGGAAGGTGGCCTCTCGGCCCTCCTCCGCAACCACGGCACTCAGCCCCGACGTGAACTTGACCTCGCGGGGTACTGCGGACAAGAGCTCTGCTTGAGAGGTGGGCAGGAGGGGCGAGGCCTGCAGACAGTGCAAAGGACACCTCCTCCGGGAAGCCGCCGCGCCGGGATCACCCACCTCCGCGCCACAGCACTAGCGCCCCAGCCAGCGTGCACGGCAACCGTGTACCTTGGACAGAGAGCCTGGCGCTGGTGCGGTCGTCGCGGCTCTCGCACACGTACTCGCCTGCATCCTCCGCTCGCAGGCCCGACACGGTGAGCGAGCGCTGGGTCCCCGAGGCACCCATCTGAAAGCGCTTGCCGGCCCGCAGCTGCGTGTTCCCGCAGCGCCACAGCACCTCTGCCTGCGCAGGGCTCAGCTCACAGACCAGAGTCGCCGTGCCGCCCAGCTCCCCGCTCACCGGCTCCAGGGGCCGGCAGAACTTGGCGGCCACCTCTGCAGGAGGGGAGGGAGGTCAGCTGGGAGAGATTCTGGCCTTGGGGCCCAGCCCTGCACTGCAAGTTCATGCGCCCTGAGCCCCACCCAGATCTGCTCCCGGACACCGGGCCTGCATGCCCTCACGTGAGACCCCAGAAGACATGGGGTTCCCAGAGGACCCCACAAGGACAGCTAACCTTCCACCTGCACCAGGAAGTCCTGCCCTTCAGCGCCCACACGGCAGCTGTAGACCGCACTGTCCAGGGTCTGCGCTCCGTGCACTGTCAGGGTGTGCACCTCCCCCAGGCTGGCTGTCTCATGCCGCTTGCTGCGGCGAATCTCCACACCATCCTTGAGCCATGTCACCGCAGCCACAGAGGGTGTGGTCAGTGTGGCAGTCAGGACGATGTCATCATGTTCCCGGATTATCAGAGGCTCCCTGCGGCTGGGTCTCTCAACCACTGGGGGCTCAGACTCTGGCTCTGGGGAAGGAGGTTTGTCAGCATGAGAGTGGGGACCCTGGCATCCTAGGCCTGGGCCCTGTCCCCTCAAACCATGTGGTGGCAGATCTGAAATGGGACTACCCCAAGCTCCATTTGCTCTGCTCCTCTAGTCCTTGACGGCTGCCTCCACTGAGTGGGCCCAAGAGTGAACACAGCAGGGTCCCACGCCACCTGATGGCCAACATCTAGGCTCCCAGGGGCCATGAAAAGTGGCCAGAAGGACACCAGTGAGCTGCAGGAGACCCAGGCCTGGAGGCCACAAGTTCTTTCCAGGCCTGGATGCCTGCCCTCCCAGGGAAGCATGGCCCATATGCAGGTACTGCAGGGAGAGTGAGGGGCAGCATGGGGGCTGGCTGATGTTCCAGAAGGACAGCAGGAGCAGGCCAAAGAAGGGAGCTGGACAGGGCAGCTTGGGCAGCAGGACCTTGGGGACAAAGGTTGAGGGGTCTGACAAAGACGAGGAGGAAGGCCCCGGAGGGGGCCCAAGAGGATCCTTGTGAGGGCTGACCCAAGGGAGTATCTGGAAACCATGCTGACTGTAGGATGGGGAACAGGGAAACAAGGGCCATAGCTAGGGATGGGACAGCATCAGCCGGCTCAAAAGGAACACCAAAGGACTTTGAAATCTGGTGTTGTCATTGGCCAGGGGGCAGGCAGCACACCAAGGGGTCCGGGCCCAGACCGGGATGACATCTCTGCAAAAGTAGGCCTCTAGGGCTGACATAACAACAGCTGGAAGGTCAGGACTCCAAGTTCAGAGACAAGAACCAAAGGTCACTAAGGGCAATGGCATCCAAGGCCAGAGGCTCCTTGGTGAGGTTCAACAGACAGGGCTGGACCCCACAGCTGCCCTGGGGTACAGTATGTCAGCAGAAAAAAGCACAGGTGCAACCACACCAACAGGGCAGGTACAAACTCACGGAGAGGTGCCCAACCTTGATTGGTCAAGCACTTGTCCTTTTGGCCCAGCCTGACACCCACCTGTGACATCTAGGCGGAAGGAGACCCTCTGGCCCCCGGCCTCGCAGCTGTACTCCCCACCGTCCGCCTTCCCTGCCTGCTGCAGCACCAGCTGCCGGGTGCAGCCCTTGGCCTCCACGTGCACCTTCGAGCTCCCACTCAACTTCTTGCCATCCTTGTACCACGTCACCTCTGTCTGCGCCTGGGCCACCTCACAGCTCAGCACAGCGCTGGCCCCCGCCTCAGCCTGCACCTCACTGCGTGCCTGCTGCTCCTTGGCAAACACCACTACGGGCTCTGGGAACAGGGAGAGGTGCACAGGGTCAATGACATCCTCTGAGTCATGGGCACAGTACTGGGGAAAGGACTACACAGGGAGGCAGGAGGCCTGGAAACTCCTCCAGGCCCTCCACCAGCTGTGTAGCCTAGAGCAGCCCCACCACCCTGTCACGACAAGCAGCTCATTCATCTACAAACCGTCCGTTGACCTATGCAAGGGTCTTGGCATCTGTATACACCTACAAACCCTTACATACGGGTACAGTAACAACTGCTGTGGAGGCACTTACGAGTCAATGTGAGACCACAGCCACCCTTACATAAAATTAAACCCTCCTGAGAAAAGGAAAATAAAGTTAGTTCATAGACTTCTCTGTGAACCGGCCAGAAAGGCTCAGACACATAGTGACCAGCAGTAAATGCTGTGACATCTGGCCTGATGTCACAGACCCCTCATCGACCAAGTGCGACCTGCCACACTTCCTGATTGCTTTCCAGTTCTAAACTCACAGATCACACTCCAGGGCAATCCTGGCATAGAGCGCCCTAACAGATGACAAAAGGGAAATAGGTTTGCTTTGACAGAATGTGTGCATCACAGGGGCCCTGCCACCATCTCTGCTCTTCGTTGATTTTGCACAGATGCTGCAGTCAAACATCTCTCTCTACTTTGCTACATATGGTGCAGAGAGAGCTTCCATATTGTCATGCCTGGAGGGAAGAGTTCCAGAACCCCTAAATCTCACCTACACAAGTTCCATCTTGGGAGCATCCCAAGTGTATCAGGTGGCTGAAATTTTCTCTTCTGCTTTAATGATTTGGGCAGCTCCTGACAGCAACAACCCTCACATGGGCTGAGTGAAGGCAGACATGTGTTAGCAGGTAGACCAGTCTCAGGTGAGGAACATCTGGTCTACCTCAGCCCAATATGACAAGTAGGGCCAGAGTCCCAGACACTGAGGACCAACGATAGTTGTAAGGAGGTGCTAAGGAAAGTGACCAAGTGCTGAATGTGGACACACCATGAAGACGTACAAGAAGGGCCCTGTCCCTCCTGTGCACACCCTTCCCATCCAAGATCCCTGGGTTCAGTCGTGGGTATACAAATGAGAGGTGGGAAAATGGGATATGTGAAGAGATGAGATCTAGTGGAGAGGGCACTAGGGTCTGTCTGGACATAGCCATTCCCATCGACACTGCTATCAGGCTAAAGTAGCACATCAAGAACCTACCTGTGATGTCCAGGCGGAAGGAGACCTTCTGGCCTCCGGCCTCGCAGCTGTACTCCCCGCTGTCCGCCTTCCCAGCCTGCTGCAGCACCAGCCGCCGGGTGCAGCCCTGGGCCTCCACACGCACCTTCGAGCTCCCACTCAGCTTCTTGCCGTCCTTGTACCACGTCACCTCCGTCTGCGCCTGGGCCATCTCGCAGCTCAGCATGGTGCTGGCCCCCGCCTCGGCCTGCACCTCGCTGTGTGCCTGCTGCTCCTTGGCAAACACCACTGTGGGCTCTGGGGACAGGGTCAAAGATACCCTCTATGTAAGAAGGACAGCACTAGGGGGGACACTACACAGGGAGACAGGAGACCTGGAAACTCCTCTGGGCCCTGCACCAGATGGTGGCCTGGAGCAGCCCCACCGCCTTGTCAGTGACAAGCAGCACATTCACCTGCACACCAATCACTGCCCACATGGCCCTTCCAGGTGAGGACACTGTGAAGGACTCTCTGGAGCATACGCCCTCTAGGAGAGAGACCACGGGGCCAGGAGGCATGCACAGGCACCTTCCCAGGGGACAGAGTCCCTCCCTTGATTTTGCAGGGCGCATTGTCACAGTAGTGCAGAGGAGTTCAGAGATTCCCCTTCTGCTGCCCACATGCTGTCACTTGTTGGCACTCAGGGGCTTGTACCCCCTGTAGTGGTCGATTGTATGATCCTGATGACTCGCAAAGTGGGGCAACTACTCTAACCTTCTTGGCCATTGCTGTTTGCCTCTCTGTGGTGTCACTGCTCAGTCTTTTGCCTGATTTCCAATAGCATTGTCTGTCTCCTTCTTATTCATTTTTAAGGCCGTTATGTTTAAGGGCTAGAGATTTTACAACTAAGTATTTTGTAAATATCTTAACCATCTGTACAGGTTGCCTTTCGATTCACCTGGTATCTTTGGAAAAATCACAGTTCTGTTTTAATGCAGTCAAATATAGGAACTTGTCCCATTGTTTTGTTTTAGAAGTATCTCCTTACCCTGAAGTCATTAAATAATCTATGCCATCCTCTGAGGGGTTTGTGGGTTCACCTTTTACACTGTGGTGTCTCATCCACCCGGAGTTCATTTTCAAGTGTGATGGAAGTTTCCTGTCCAGTTCACCTTTGAACAACATGGGTTTGAAGTGCAAGGGTCGACTTATATGTGGATATTTTTTCAATAAATACACTGTCAGCCTTTCATATCCCCAGCTTTCACATTTGCACATTCAACCAACAACGATCAAAAATAGGATTTTTGATCTGTAGCTGGGAATCTGCAGATGGAGAAGACAAATTTAAGTTATTGTGTATTTTTGAGTGCATGAGGGTTGGCGTCCCTAACTCCCATGTTGTTTAAGGGTCAACCGTGTATATATTTTTGATGATTAAATGTTGAAATCACCACTTATAAAAAGACGATCCTTTCTTCACTGTCTATACGAGCTAGATGTTTAAAAACAAGCAGAGGCTGTCCATTCATTCAGTGCCCTGCTAGCGAGCTCACGATGCTCTTCTTTTGATTTAATCACTGTTCCTAGGCTGTGACCCCATTATCTTTACTACTGTAGCATTTTGATCATTCTTGATATCTTATAGATACATGTTCACACCTGGATCTTCTTCAAGAGCATGCTGGCTCTACTTGCTCGGCCTCTGGAATCTGCTTCTCCATTTTCAACCCCCCAAAGAAAAATATTTGTTGAATTTTGATCAGATGCGAACATATGTGAGTCTTCCACAGACTTCTATCCATTTCTTCAGATCTTCTTTACCATCTCTCAAAAATGTTTAACGATTTTCCTCCATCGATGTCATATACAGCTTTATTAAACTGGGAACTGAAAATGTGATACATTCCATGCTATTCTAAATCTTTTAAAATTTCATTTTCTAACTGTGTTAATAGTACGTGGACATAAAAATAGTTTTGCTCATTGATTTTTTTACACAGTAACTCTTCTTAACTCTTATTAATTCTAATAATCTTTAAGATTTTCTGCATTAGTATTCATACCATCTGTGAATTCCACTTATTTTTCCAACTTTTATAACTCATATTATTTTCCCCCTTCCTCTGTGGTAAAAAGGTACATAGAAGTGGTGACAGTGACCTCATGTGTTGTTCTCTTATCTCAAAGGCAAAATTTTCAAGGTTCTTGTTAAGTGTGCAGTTACCTGATATCTTCTGTAGTACTATTTATCAAATTAAAGATGGCCAATCTTATTTATAGATTGTTAAGAATTTTATGGCATGAATTGATGCTAAATTTTATCAAACATTATTTCTGGATTTATAACATTAAATTTTATCACGGTTTTATTCTGCATTTATTGAGATAATCACATCTTTTTTTTATTCAATCTGTTAACGTCATGCTTTATACTGATCTCATGTTTCTAAAGGTAAACCAGCTTTGCATTCTGGCACACGACTTCCATCACAGTGTATTATCTTTTTGATATATTGCTGAATTCAGCTTGCAAATATTTGTCTAACATTTTGCCTTGATACCTATAGAAGATCAGCCTGTAATTTTAACTCTTGTTTCATTCCTCGTCATATTTTGATATCCATATTATATTATCTACAGAAAACAATCTGAAGACTGTATTTCTTTCAACCTCTAGAAGAATCTCCGCAAACGTGGAACAACTTCGTTCTTGAACATTCATATAATTTACTAGTAGAGCCACTGGAATTAAATTTTTCTCTCTGAAAAGGTTATTTATTATGGTTCCATTATTTAAAAGATTATAGGAAACAAAAAATGCTTTAAAAAAGATTATAGGACTATTAGAGGGATTTAATTCTTTTGTGTCACTTATGATATAATTTTGTAAGAACTGGCAAAATTGTTCAAACTTTTTAAATTTATTATCATAAAACAATTTGTCATATCCTCTTACAATAATGTTTGACGAAGATGAGGGTGAGTTTTTGGTGTATATACACACCCACTAACCATTATATCCTGACATAATACCAAACTGTTATGCGTTGGCACCTGGGCCCATTGTAGGTCGGCAGCCACTGCTTTCTGACATTAATACCCTCTTAATGAAAGGAAAATAAATTTAGTTATTAGATTTCCCTAGGAACCAGCCAGGGAGGAACAGACACACTAACCATTATGGAAAATCCATGAAATAAAGACTGTTTTATGAGACAGTGGTGGGTGCTACTAGAGGAACTCAAAATTAACAGTGTGAAGTGATGTAGTATCTGATATATACTCTTTTCCATTTCTGAATTTACACATCAAACTTAAATGAGAATATCGACATAAAATGTTTTAACTGAAGACAAAGAGAAACAAATATTACAACAAAACATGGATCTAGATTTGGTACATGGAGTGAAAAGAGGAATGAGTCTCCCTGAACACCTAAAACTATAATATACTAAATTTTAGTTTCGAGATAATTATAGGTATGATTAGGTAGCCAAAATTACCCCTTTAATTCGGTTCAGTGAAATTCCAACAGCTCTCACTAGCAAGAACCCTCACATGATGCTAAGTGACAGGATATGGAAACTACCAAACATTTAATCGAAGCATGTCCACATATTGCAGACAAGAGATGGATGGTCTACCTCAAACCCCAGCCACCAGATACAGCCAGAGTCTTGAATACCAGGGAGCACCAGAAGGACTCAGGGAAGCTGCTAGGAACATGTAATAAAGCATTACTGCATGGAACCATCACTTGGTGTGAACAAGAAGGACTCTCTCCCTTCCACACACACTATCCGCATCAAATTCTCTTGGCTCAGCCACAGGCATGAAAACAGTAAGTTAGAAACTTGAAGTTATGAAGTCTAATGGAAAGAGCACCAGGGTCCCCTGGGGCTATTAGTCACATGATCACCTGAAACAAAGCTACCTGAAAACAAAGATAAAGTAGCACCCGGAGAACTCACCTGTGACGTCCAGGTGGAAGGAGACCCTCTGGCCCCCGGCCTCGCAGCTGTACTCCCCGCTGTCTGCCTTCCCCGCCTGCTGCAGCACCAGACGCCGGGTGCAGCCCTTGGCCTCCACACGCACCTTCGAGCTCCCACTCAGCTTCTTGCCGTCCTTGTACCACGTCACTTCTGTCTGCGCCTGGGCCACCTCGCAGCTCAACGTGGCACTGGCCCCCACCTCGGCCTGCACTTCGCTGCATGTCTGTTGCTCCTTGGCAAACACTACTGTGGGCTCTGGGGACAAGGAGGGACACACAGGATCAATGATAACTCTAAGTTAGGGAGATGGCACTGAGGAAAGGACTACACAGGCAGGCAGGAGGCCTGGAAACTCCTTTGGGCTCTATATCAGCTGTGTGGCCTAGAGCAGCCCCACTACCTTGTCAACGACAAGCAGCTCATTCATCTACACACCGACCACTGACCCGTGCAGGGGTCTTGGCATCTATACACACCTACAAATCCTCACATACTGGTACAGTAACAACTGCTGTGGTGGCACGCAGGAGTCAATGTGAGACCACGGCCACCCTTATATAAAGTTAAACCCTCTTGAGAAAAGGAAAATAAAGTTAGTTCACAGACTTCTCTGTGAATCAGCCAGAGAGGCTGACACGTAGTGACCAGCAGTAAATGCTGTGACATCTGGCCTGATCGACTGAGTGCGACCTGCCACACTTCCTGATTGCTTTCCAGTTCTAAACTCACAGATCACACTCCAGGGCAATCCTGGCACAGAGCGCTCTAACTGAAGACAAAAAAGAAACAAGTTTGCTTTGAAAAGAGAATTCCAGACAGAATGTGTGCATCACAGGGGCCCTGCCACTATCTCTGCTCTTCGTTGATTTTGCACAGACACTGCAGTCAAACGTCTCTATTTTGCTATATATGGTGCAGAGAAAGCTTCCGTATCATCAGGCCTGGAGGGAAGAGTTCCAGAACCCCTAAACCTTGCCTACCTAAGTTCCATCTTGGGAGCATCCCAAGTATATCAGGTAACTGAAATTTCCTCTTCTGCTTTAATGAATTTGGACAGCTCTTGATAGTAGAACCTGGACATGGGCCTGAGTGAAGGCAGACATGCGGGAGCAGCTAGACCAGCCTTAGGGGAGGGACATATGGTTTACTTGGCCCAATGTGCTGGATAAGGCCAGACTCCCAGACATCCAGGACCAATGGTAGTTGTGAGGAAGTGCTGAGGAAGTTGACCAAGTGCTGAATGTGGACACGCCATGAAGACGTACACAAAGGGCCCTGTCCCTTCTGTGCACACCCTTCCTATCCAAGGTCCCTGGGCTCAGCTGTGGGTATACAAATGAGAGGTGGGAAAATGGGATATGTGAAGAGATGAGATCTAGTGGACAGGGCACCAGGGTCTGTCTGGACATAAGCCAGTCCCATTGTCACTTGCAATCAAAGCTAAAGCAGCAACGTGAGAACCCACCTGTGACATCCAGGTGGAAGGAGACCCTCTGGCCCCCGGCCTCGCAGCTGTACTCCCCGCCGTCTGCCTTCCCCGCCTGCTGCAGTACCAGCCGCCGGACGCAGCCATTGGTCTCCATGTGTACCTTCGAGCTCTCACTCAACTTCTTGCCATCCTTGTACCATGTCACCTCTGTCTGTGACTGGGCCACCTTGCAGCTCAGCGTGGCACTGGCTCCCGCCTCAGCCTGCACCTCACTGCGTGCCTGCTGCTCTTTGGCAAACACCACTGTGGGCTCTGGGGACAGGGAGGGACACACAGGAACAGTGACACCCTATAAGTCAGGAGGATGGTACTGAGGAAAGGAGTAACACAGGGAGGCGGGAGGCCTGGAAACTCCTCCAGGCCCTGCACCTGCCGTGTGGCCTGGAGCAGCCCCATCCCCTTGTCAGCAACAAGCAGCATATTCATCTATACACTGACCACTGCCTACGTGGCCCTTCCAGGTGGGGACACTGTGAAAGACTCTTCGGCGCACACACCCTCTAGAAGAGGGACCATAGGGCCAGGAGGTATGCAAAGGTGCCTTCCCAGGGGACACAGAATCTCCCTGGTGGTTGTGCAGGTCACATTGTCACCGTAGTATAGGCAAGTTCCCGGGGTTCCCCTTCTGCTGCTTTCATGCTGTCACTTGTTGGCACCTGGGGGAGTGAGTTGTACCCCCTGTAACAGTTGATTGCTTGGTCCTGATGACCCATAAAGTGAGGCAATTTCTCCTACCTTCTTGGCCATTGCTGTTTGCCCCTCTGTGGTTTCACTGTTCAATCTTTTCCCCATCATCTCTCTTTTGCATATTCATTTTTAGGAGTTCTAATTACATGCTAGGGTTTTCTCTTCCACATGTGTGACTTGCCTTTCCACTCTCTTATGGTGTCTACCAATGAATCAAAGATTTTCCTTTTAATGGGGTCATTTATGTCATTCTCATTCCATGGTGGTCAGTGCATTTGCATTCTGTCAGAAATCTGGTCTTGCCCTGAAGTCTCTAAGCAACTGAGGACATCATCCAAGAATTTTATGTTGTCATCTCTTTCCCCAAGGTCTCTAACCCACCCAGAATTGGGGTTGTATACAGTGTGAGTTACCAACTTTATTATTCTTTATGGTTAAATTGCAAAAATCTATTATGAAGAAACCATTCTTTTAACACTCTCTGAGCAGGTGCCATATTAAAAAAAAAAAGTGGGGATGGGTCTGTTTCTGAAATCCCTAGTCTACTCTTTTGATCTGATTAGCGTCCTTTCATTAAGACCCAGCTGTCTACATTACTGTAGCTGTATAATAATTCTTGGTGTTGGTAAAGCAAACACTCACACAAAATCTGCCTGTCAATTTTCAATACCCGACAAAGAACATCTGTTTGGATTAGAGTTGTTAATGAATATCTTAGAATCTTCTATGAATTTCTATCCATTTATTTAGACATTCTTAACCATTTCTCAGAAGTGTTCAAGAATTTCCCCTCACAGAGCCATTAAGAATCTTTTATTAGATTTGGAATTAGAAACATGATACTTCTGATGCTATTGGAAATCTTTTAAAATTTCACTTTCCAACTTTTTGTTGCTAGTATATAAACACAGAAGTATTTTCTTATGTTGATATTCATACATAGTTATCTTTCTGAACAGTCTTACTAAGTGTAATAATTTATCTTTGAAATTTTGGAACTGATAATCATGTCATCTGTTTTTCCAACTTTTATGCATTTTATTTTATTTCATTTTCCTCCCTCTGTGCTATATAATGTTGGATAGAAATGGTGACAGTGGGCCTCCTTCTCTTGTTCCCTACTTCATAGATCAAACTTTCATGGTTTCACTTCAAGCACAATGTTAACTGGTGTGTTCTGTGGTACAATTTATCTAGGTAATAAAGAATTGGTTTATTGATAGCTGGTTAAAAATTTTATAGCATGAACTGATGTCAAATTTTATCAAACATTTATTCTGAATTTATGATATTAAAACTTATCAAACTTTTATTCTGCATTTATTGAGAAAAGTCATATCATTTTCTCTTTCAGTCAATTAAGGTCATGCATTATATCGATATTCTAATATTTTTGATATTAAAACAACATCACATTCTTGGACTATGACTTTTGTTACAGTGTATCTTCATCTTGACATATTGCTCAGATGATATTGCCAATATTTTGTGGAAGATAAGAGATGGGCCTGTAATATTAATTCTCCCTACTTTACTTGTCAGACTTTTGTATCAATGTTATGCTATCTACATGAATCGACTCAGGGAGTGTATCTCCCTGTTTTATTCTCTAGAAGAATCTCCATGAACATGGACTCATTTCTCTCCAGGATATTTTATATAATTTATCAGTAGAGCCACTGGGCTTAAACCTTTCTCTATGAAAAATATTTTTATTACTGATTTTCATTTATTTGAAAGTTATAGAACTATTTGAGTTTTCTGTTTCTTCTTCTGTCACTTTTTCATATAGTTTTCTAACATTTGGTCAATTTGTCAAAACCGTTCAAAATTATTGCCATAAAGCAACATGTCATGTACTCTTTAAAAACATTTTTAAAAGATACATAGTTTTTTTGGTATCTGTACACACCCACAAATCATTAGATACTGATATACAACCAAACTGTTATGTGTTGGCTCCTAGGAGTCAATGTGGTACTGCACCTGACCCCTCTAATGTTAAGACCAACTTAATGAAAGGAAAACAAATTTAGTCCTCAGATATCTCATGAACCAGCCAGGGAGGCACAGACACACACTAGTGACTAGATGAGGCTATGACATAAATACAGCTATACCAGTCAGTGGCTTCTACAACAGGGATCAAATTTTAACAAAGTGTGCCATGTAGCTTAAGCTCCTTATCCTCTTCCATGTCTAAATTTATAAATCAGTCTCCAAGGGGAATTCTGACATGGAATGGTTTTACTAAAGACAAAAAGAAAACAAGATTTGCTTCAAAAAGAGAATGCTAGACCTCACATGTGCATATCTCTGATACATATCAACAGATCCTGTGATCTTTATTTACTTCACACATATATTGCAAGAAAACTTGGATCTAGATTTTGCTGCATTTGGTGCACAAATAACTTCTATATCCACAGTCAAGGATGAAAAAGTGTCCCTGAACACCAAAACCACTAATAATCCAAAGTTTAGTAGAGATACTCCCAAGTATGACTATGTGGCTGAAATTTCTCCTCATACCTGTTCAAAGAAATTCAAATGTCCTTCATTAGTGAGAACCCCCACAGAGTGCTGAGAGAGGGCATCTGGGAGCTACCGGGACATCCAAAAGAGCACAGTCAGAGCAGAAATAAATTAAATAGAGGCTAGAAATCAATAGAAATGATCAAGAACTCTAAGAATGGTTCTTTGAAAAGATAAACAAAATAGATAAACCTCTAGGCAAACATATCAAAGAGAGAGAGAAGGCCCAAATTAATAAAATCAGAAGTGAAAGAGGAGTGACAAATGACACCACAGAGATACAAAGAATTATAAGAGAACACTACAAACAGTGACATGCCAACAAATGGAAAACCAAGATGAAACAGATTCCTAAAAGCATACAACCTGCCAAGACTTCATCAGGAAGAAATAGAAAATCTGAACAGATAATGAAAAAATCAAAAAACAATAATCAAAAAACTCCCAACAAACAAATCTCCAGAACCAAATGGCTTCACAGGTAAATTATTTCAAACATTTAAAGAATAATTAATACCTACCCAACTCAAACTACTCCCAAAAATTGAAGTTGACGGAAGGCTCCTGAATTCATTTGATGAGGACAACATCACCCTGATACCTAAACCAGACAAAGACACTACAAAGAAAGAAAATTACAGGCCAATATCCCTGATAAACATAGATGCAAAAATCCTCAACAAAATGTTAGGAAACTAAATTCAGAAATACATTAAAAAGAACATGTACCATGATCAAGTGGAATTTATTTGATGCAAAGTTGATTCAATATCCACAAATCAATTAATGTGATAAACCACAAAAACAAAATGAAGGATAGAAATCATATGATCATAACAATAGATGCTGAAAAAGCACTTGAAAATATCCAGCATCCATTTATGATAAAAAAAAAAAAAAACTCTCAACAAGGTGGGAATAGAGGGAACATACTTCAACATAATAAAGGCCATATATGACAAAGCTACAGCTAACATCATATACAATGGGGAAAAGCTAAAAGTGTTTTCCTAAACATCAGGAACAAGACAAAGATGTCCTCTCTCACCACATTTATTCAACATAGTACTGGATGTCCCAGCCACAGCAATCAGACCAGAAAAAGAAATAAGAGACATCCACATTGGAAAGGAAGAAGTAAAACTGTTGTTATTTGCAGATAACATGATACTATACATAAAGAACCCTAAAGATTCCACTCAAAAACTGTTAGAGCTGATAAATGAATTCAGTAAAGTAGCAGGATACAACATTAATATTCAGAGATCTGTTGCATTCTTATATACCAATAATGAATTATCATAAAGAGAAATTTAAAAGAAAACAATCCCATTTACAACTGCACCCAATAAAAATTAAATATCTAGGAATAAATTTAACCAAGAAGATCAAAAACTGTACTCAGAAAATTATAAGATGTTGAAGAAAGAAATTAAAGAAGATACAAATAAACGAAAGCACATATTGTGCTCATGGATAGGAATAATTAACGTCATCAAAATGTCTATACTACCCAAGGTAATCTATAGATTCAGTGCAATCCCTATCAAAAAACCAATCACAGAACTAGAATAAATAATCCTAAAATTTATATGAAACCACAAAAGATCCCTAAGAGTCATGGCAATCTTGAGAAAAAAAAATGAAGTAGGAGGTATCACACTACATGATATCAAACTATATTGCAAGGCTATGGTAATCAAAACAGCATGGTACTGGCATAAAAACAGAAACAGCAATCAATGGAGCAGAATAGAGAGCCCAGAAATAAACGCTCACTTCATCGATGACATAGGAGGCAAGAATATACAATGGAGTAAAGAAAGTTTTTTCGATGAATGGTGCTGGGGAAACTGCACAGACATATACAAAAAATGAAACAAGACCACTTGCTTACATCGTATACAAAAATTAATGTAAGACCTAAAACCATAAAACTCTGAGAAGAAATAAAGGTAGTAAACTCTTTGATTTTTTTGGATATATTTTTTTGGATAATAATTTTTTGGATATATCTCGTTGGGTAAGAGCAACAAAAGAAAAAAAAATAAACAAGTGGGACTAATCAAACTAAAAGTTTTTACAGAGCAAAGGAAACCATCGACGAAATGAAAAGACAACCTACTAAATGGGACAAGATATTTGCAACTGATAATATCAAATAAAGGGTTGATAGTCAAAGTATACAGAGAACTCATACAACTCAACATCTAAAAAACGAACAATCCAATTAAAAAATGAGCTGAAGACCTAAACAGACATATCTCCAAAGAAGACATACAGATGGTCAACAGACATATGAAAAGATGCTCAACGTCACTAATCATCTAATAAATGCAAATTGAAACCACAATAAAAATACAACTTCACACTTGTCGGAATTGCTATTATCAATAAATCAACAAAAAACAAGTGTTGACGAGGATGTGGAAAAAAGGAAACCTCGTGCTTTGTTGTATTGTAAACTGCTGCAGCCACTATAAAAACAGTATGAAGGTTCCTAAAAAATTAAAAATAGAACTACCTCATGGCCCAGCAATCCCATTGTTGGGCATATATCCGAAGAAATCCAAAACACTAACTTGAAAAGATGTAGCCCTATGTTTATTGCAGTATTATTTACAATAGCCAAGACATGGAAGCAACCTTAGTGTCCATCGATCGATGAATGGATAAAGATGTGTTCTATATATATGCAACATAATATTACTCAGCCATAAAAAAAGAGTGAAATCTTGCTATTTCCAACAATATGGATAGACCTAGAGGGTATCATGCTAAGCTAAATAAGTCAGACAGAAAACAACAAATACCATATGATTTCACTTATACAAGGAATCTAAAAAACAAAATAAATGAATAAACAAAACAGAAACAACCTCATAGATACAAAGAACATTTTGATGGTTGCCAGATGGGGTTGGGGAGGTGGGGCTGGGTGAAAGGTGAAGGGATTAAGAAGAACAAATTGGCAGTTACAAAATAGCCACAGGAATGTAAATACAGCATAGAGAATGCTGTCAATAATATCGTAATAAATATGCATGGTGTCAGGTGAGTACTAGATTATCAGGGTGACTGCTTTGTAAATTATATAAATGTCTAATACTTACTATGTTGTACACTTGACACTAATATAATGCATCAACTATAGTTGAAAAATAAATTTTTAAAAAAGCACAGTCACATAACCCACTTTTGAGATGCCTCGTCTATTTCAGAACTAAAGCACCCAACACAGCCACAGTCCTGAAGAGCAGGAACATGACAAGGGTGCTTGGGAAGTCACCCTAGTGCACAAATGAGCACTGATAATGGGAACCATGACTGGAGGTGCAGAGGAAGACCCCCCAACCACCCATCCACATACCGCCTCCCAGTTATAAAGTCTAATGAGAGAGCCCCAGGGCTATAATACGATTGATTCATCATCACCAAATAGGGCGAAGTTAGCATTCCCAAGAACCCACCTGTGACGTCCAGGTGGAAGAAAATCCTCTGGCCCCCGGCCTCGCAGCTGTACTCCCCGCCATCTGCCTTCCCCGCCTGCTGCAGCACCAGCCGCCGGACGCAGCCCTTGGCCTCCACGTGCACCTTCGAGCTCCCACTCAGCTTCTTGCCATCCTTGTACCACGTCACCTCTGTCTGCGCCTGGGCCACCTCACAGTTCAATGTGGCACTGGCCCCCGCCTCGGCCTGCACCTCACTGCGTGCCTGCTGCTCCTTGGCAAACACCAGAGTGGGTTCTGGAGACAGGGAGGGGTGCACAGGAATATGACATCCTCTAAGTCAAAAGGGCGGTACTGGGGAAAGGACTACACAGGGAGGCAGGAGGCCTGGAAACTCCTTTGGGCCCTGCACCAACTGTGTAGCCTAGAGCAGCCCGACCACCTTGTCAGGGTCAAGCAGCTCATTCATCTGTACACCAACCACTGACCCGTGCAGGGGTCTTGGCATCTATACACACCTACAAACCCTCACATACTGATACAGTAACAACTGTTGTGGTGGCAAGTAGGAGTCAATGTGAGACCACAGCCACCCTTATACAAAGTTAAATCCTCCTGAGAAAAGGAAAATAAAGTTAATTCATAGACTTCTCTGTGAACTGGCCAGAGAGGCTGACACATAGTGACCAGCAGTAAATGTTATGACATCCGGCTTTACCACAGACCCCTCCCTGACACAGACCTGTCACACCTCCCTATTGCTTTTCAGTTCTAAACTCACAGATCACACTCCAGGGCAATCACAGGGTAATCCTGGCACAGAGCGCTCTAACTAAGGACAAAAGGAAAAAAGGTTTGCTTTGAAAAGAGAATTCCAGACAGAATGTGTGCATCGCAGGGGCTCTGCCACCATCTCTGCTCTTCATTGATTTTGCACAGACACTGCAGTCAAACATCTCTCTCTACTTTGCTACATATGGTGCAGAGAGAGCTTCCATATTGTCATGCCTGGAGGGAAGAGTTCCAGAACCCCTAAACCTCGCCTACACAAGTTCCGTCTTGGGAGCATCCCAAGTGTATCAGGTGGCTGAAATTTCCTCTTCTGCTTTAATGAATTTGGACAGCTCTTGATAGTGAGAACCCGCACATAAGTCTGGGTGAGGGCAATGTGTGGGAGCAGCTAGACCGGCTTCAGGTGAGGAACATCTGGTCTACCTTGGCCTAATGTGCTGGACAGGGCCAGAGTCCCAGATGCCCAGGACCAATGGTAGTTGTGAGGAGGTGCTGGGGAAGGTGACCAAACATTGAATGTGGACACACCATGAAGACATACAAGAAGGGCCCTCTCCCTTCTGTGCACACTCTTCCCATCCAAGGTCCCTGGGCTCAGCTGTGGGTATAGAAATGGGAGGTGGGAGAATGGGATATGTGAAGAGATGAGATCTATTGGAGAGGGCACCAGGGTCTGTCTGGACATAAGGCAGTCCCATTGTCACCTGCGATCAAAGCTAAAACAGCAATGTGAGAACCCACCTGTGACATCCAGGCGGAAGGAGACCCTCTGGCCCCCGGCCTCGCAGCTGTACTCCCCGGCGTCCGCCTTCCCTGCCTGCTGCAGCACCAGCCGCCGGACGCAGCCCTTGGCCTCCACACGCACCTTCGAGCTCCCACTCAGCTTCTTGCCGTTCTTGTACCACGTCACCTCCGTCTGCGCCTGGGCCACCTCGCAGCTCAGCGTGGCACTGGCCCCTGCTTCAGCCTGCACTTCGCTACGTGCCTGCTGCTCCTTGGCAAACACCAGCGTGGGCTCTGGGGACAGGGAGGGATTGACAGGATCAATGACACCCTTTAAGTCAAGAGGATGGCATGGAGGAAAGAAGTACACAGGGAGGCAGGAGGCCTGGAAACTCCTCTGGACCCTGCATCTGCTGTATGGCCCAGAGCAGCCCCACCGCCTTGTCAGAGGCAAGCAGCACATTCATCTACACACCAACCACTGACCACGTGGCCATTTCAGGCGGGGACGCTGTGAAGGACTCTCCGGAGCACATACATTCTAGGAGAGGGACCGCAGGACCAGACACATGCACAGGTACCTTCCCAGGGGAGCACAGAGTCTTCCTCGTGATTGTTTAGGGCAGTCGTCACCACAGTGCCGGGGAGTTCCTGGGGCTCTCCTCCCCACTGCTTTCCATGTTGTCACCCTTAGCACCCAGAGGAGTGAACTGTCCCTCCATTAGGGTCAATTTCATGGTCTTGATGACCCACAAAGTGAAAAACCTTTTCTGATGTTTTGGTCATTAGTGTTTGCTTCTTTATGGCGTCACTGTCCAAGGGTTTTGCCCGATTTTCAGTACCATTTTCTTTTTCAGATTCATTCTGAAGCTATTTATGTAACTAAATGCTACAGTTTTAATGGTTATGTAGATTTATATATCTTCTCCATTTCTGTGCCCTGCTTTTTCATAGCTTTATAATATTTCTTGTGAAATGAAGTTATTAGTTTTGGTATAGGCCAATACATCAATTTGTGTTTTATGGTTTGTGTATTTTATGTTTCGTTTAAAATCTTTCATTTCTCCAAGGCCATTAAATAATCTGTATTGTCTAATAAACCTTAGTTAGAATCTTTCACACAACGTCTCTAAGTTCCAGTTGATTTGTGTGTGGTGTGAGGTAGGCATCCAATTTTATTTAACTTTTCCACATGGTTAAAGGTCTTAGCACCATTTATAAAAAGATCTATCTCTGCACCAGCAGCAGGGGAATCACACAAAAAGGGAGAGAGCAGGCTTCACATGGAGTTGTTCTAAGCTCTCTACCCCATTCCTTTGGGCTTTTTATGTAACCCTGCACTGGGACCCGCTTGTCTGAATTGCAGTCTTTATTTATTAAAAGTCTCCATCTCATTAGATGTCCTCACTTCGTCCTTCAAGAGTGGTCTGGTTCTGCTTGGCCTCTGCAACCAACCCATCCATATTCTCACATCCAATAGAACAAGTGTTTGATTTTTGAATGGAACTGAAGACCTTTGCGTCTTCCATAGATTTACATCTTCTTTCTGCCTCCCAACAACGCTTAATCATTCTCACCTACGAAGCTGCGCAAAGTCCTTTCTAGACTTAGAAATGGTAACACAATCCTTCTGATAACTTTGTAATTCTTATAATTTCATTTTCCAGCTTCTATTTCTAGTTGTAGATATAGAAATGTTTTCTATATATTGATTTTGGTTTGCAGTCATCTTTCTCAACTCTCTAAGTTTAATAATTAATTATTTTGGATTTTTTAAATTGACAATCATCTGTTCTATTTTTGATGTTTCCAACTGTTATGCTTTATTTTCCTCCTAAGTGTTCTATAAAAGTGTCATGAACGCGTGACAGTGGCTTCCCTGTCTTGGTCCCAATCTCAGAGGAAAAGCTTTCAAGGTTTCACTTCAAGTGTGATGTTAGCTAGCTTTTTCTGTTCTACCAATTGTTCAATAAAAGAAGAACCCTTTGATTTATAGGTTATTAAGAATTTTATCACAGAAATTGATGCTCATATTTATCAAATATTTCACCTCAAAGACACATCTGGTCTACCTCAGCCCCATGCATCAGATAGAACCAGGGTCCTGGACACCAAGAATCACCAGTGAATTCTGAGGTGGTGGTGGGAAAATTTGCCTTTCTCTCCTGCACACACACTGTCATCAGTGCTCCCTGGCCCAATTCTGGGTATGAAAATGGAAGGTGGGAGGATGGGAGACATCAAGAAATAAAGTCTAATAAAAAGAATAGCAATATTTGTTCTGACTTCTGTAAAGGCTAATGAGGTACCCCAAAAACTGACCTGTGACGTCTAGGTGGAAGGAGACCCTCTGGCCCCCAGCCTCACAGCTGTACTCCCCGCTGTCCGCCTTCTCCACCTGCTGTAACACCAGCCTCCGGGTGCAGCTCTTGGCCTCCACGTGCACCTTCGAGTTCCCACTCAGCTTCTTGCCGTCCTTGTACCACGTCACCTTTGTCTGCACCTGGGCCACCTCACAGTTCAGGGTGGCACTGGCCCCCACCTTGGCATGCACCTCACTGTGTGCCTGCTGCTCCTTGGCAAACACCAGCATGGGCTCTGGGAACAGGGAGGGATGCATAGGATCAGCGATACTCTCTAAGTCAGTACGATGGCAGTAGGAAAAGGACTACACATGGCGACAGGAGGCCTGGAAACTCCTCCAGCCTTGCACCAGCTGTGTGGCCTGGAGAATAATCTGTGCTAACATCTCAGGGTTTTATGGTTTAACCTGTACACTGAGGTCTCTAACCCACCTGGATCTGAATTGTTTGTAGTGAAGTTACCGGTACAATGTAATTTTTTCCATATGGTTGAAAGGCCCAAGCACCCTTTCTAAAAACACTATTCATTCTCTACTTGCACAGAAATCTCAGTAAACACTGAGGGAATGGTGGGAGTCTACACACACACTGGCTTGTTTCTGAGCTCACCGTTCTATTCCTTTGATCTGATAATGATCTTTGCACTAAGACCCTGCTGTGTTAATGACTATAGTTTTATGCCAATTCTCAACAACTGGAACAACAAAGGCTCACATTTTTATTTTCTGCATGGGAGTGTCAGCTGTCTTTAGAATCTGCTTCTGAGTTTATAAATCCCCCCCAAAAAAACACTTTCTGCTTTTGGTTGTTCATGTACACAGATGATTCCTCCATGTATTTCTATTCATCTATTTAAATTTCATGACTGCCCCTCAGCACCTTCTATTAGACACAAAATTAGAAACTCGACATTTTCAATGCTTTTGTAACTGTCAAAATTTTATGTTCCGGGTTTTGTTGCTCGTATACAGATATAAAAGTGTTTCCTACATGGTGATCTTTCTAAAAAATCTTACTTAGTCTAATAATTTATCTTTTGGATATTCTGTACCAATAACCACATGTCAGTGAATTACACCTTTTTTTCGAAATGTTATGTCTTTTATTTTATTTTCCTCCTTACTCTGCTCAGTGGTTACGGTGGCCCACTCAGGAGCCCATTTGTCTTGTCCTCAGTGTCCAAGCTTCCAAGGTTCACTTTCAGTGTGTTTCTGAGGTACCATTTATCAAATTAAGGAAGAACACTTCTGTACAGTTTGTTAAGAATTTTATGGCATAAATTGATAAATTTTATCAAACATTTCTGGATTTCTTATGTTAAATTTTAACCAAATGCTGTTACTCTGTTACTCATTAACAGAATATGATAACGGAATCATTTGTCAATCACTCTTAATGTCATGCTTTATATTGAGCTAATGTTTCTAACGTTGACCCGAACTTGTAATCCTGGACTATAATTTTCATCAGTGTAGTACTATCCTGATATACTGCTGAATCCATGTAGCTAATGTTTTATTTATGACTTTGGATTGTCCGTAATTTAATTCTTCCTACTTTTCTTGTCAGGTTTTGGTATCAGTGTTGTATCTACATAAAACAAGTTACAGAGTGTACCTCCTTTTTTCCAATCTCTAGAATAATCTCTGTGAATACAGAATAACTGGTTTGTTTTTTTTTTCAGAATACTTAATATAGTTTATGAGAGAATGACTGGGCTTAAAAGATTTTTAGATATTGGTTCCATTTATTTAAGTCATAGGACTATTTGAGTTTTTTATATCTTCTAGTGTCAGATTTCACATAGTCACTAGATATTAGCTCAACTTTCAAATTTATTACCATAAACTATTGTGTCATATTCTCTTAAAATAACATTTCACAAAGATAGATAGGTATTTTGGGGTACCTATACACACCCACAATCATTACATACTGATAAAATACCAAGATATTATGTGTTGGCACCTAATCGATGATGTGGGATAGGAGTCCACCCCTGTCTAAAATCAGGACTCTCTTAACAAGAGGAAACTAATCTGATTTTTCAGACTTCTCTATGTACCAACCCAGGAATCAGAGATACACACTAACCACCAGCAAAATGCTATCACAGAAATACTGCTCAGAGTGATGTCAGAAACATGGTGGAGATAGAGACGTCCCCAGATCGCTCCCCTTGAAATAACAATAATCTGAATATCTAAAACTCAACAAAAAACACCTGAACTACACACCAGCGTGTATGAGCATGGGATCTGCGCATAAGAGCTACCACAAGTCAGAACCCCAGGTGTCAGGCGGTGGACTGAGAGAAACAAAGAAGCTGCTCTCAAAGCCAAAGCTCCCTGTAGGAGGAGAAGGGAGGTAAGAAGGTGGAGTGAGTTCCCTGAACAGCCCTGCCTGGGAGAGCTGTGAGCTCCACGTGGCCAGTGACAGTGCCCAGTCATCAGGGCAGAAAGCAGAGAAGCAGAGACGGCAGAGAAACAATAGTTGATTTTTGCCAGCCCTGGATGCAAAACCAAGGCTGAGCTGCAGCCCCCAACCTCCAACCCTGAGGGCCGCTCCCCCCATACCATCCAAGACTAAACTCCACAGAGCCCCAGGGTAATCTAAGCAAACGCTACCAAAACCATCATTAACACTGGCAGGGACTGAGACTGTGGGTAACGAGCGTGATTAAACATCTATAAGAAGAAAAAAAAGGCATTATATTTATATAAAGCAGGAATACAAAAAGCTTAGATGCCACCTACTGAAAACCAAGAGAAAAAAAGTCTTCTTTGCAACAGGCTACAGAAACCTTTATATAATAAAAATTCATTATGGGGAGAGAAAAAAAAAAAACGCAGAATACACTTCCATTAATGCCCAGGCAGAGAAATAGTCCATTAGAAACCATGAACAACCAATGTGACAAGGCATCTCATAAAGAAAGAGAAAAATCTCTAGAAAATAAGCTTACAGACATAGAAATATGTGACTTAAATCAGAGAATTCAGGATGGTACTTCTGAAAAAACTCAGTGAGTTCTAAAACAAGTCGCATCAACAATTCAGGAATTGAAAAAAACTACTGGATAAGCAGAGCAAGGAGATTGAAACTCTCAAGAAAAAAAAATAGATCTTCTGGAGGTAAAAAACACACTGCAAGAGTTGAAAAATGAAATAGGAAGCTTGAGAAATAGAGTCAACCAAATGGAAGAAAGGATCAGTGATATCAAAGACAGAAATCTAGAAATAAATCAGAAGGAAGAAGAGAGAAATCGAAAAATGAAAAATAATGAAAGAGAAATTCAAGAACTAGCTGATACTATAAGGAGAGGAAACATAAAAATAATAGACATTAT